CCCCGGGGAGGGAGGGAGGCAGAGCGATGCGGGGCACGGGCCTGTCCCTGCCCACCGGCCTGGGAATGACACACCTGTGGGGATGCGCTGGCACATGAGTTTTCCCTTGTAAAGATTTGACAAGCTGCTGATGTGAAAGTTTCTGCTGCGAAGAGCTAATAACAGTTGCAAACCAGTTGGCTGCTTAATGCCAGGGAGATATTTTTAGCTCTTCAGGCTCTCGGACTCTCGGGTTTTTGCAAAAAAGAGACAATCTCTCTTGAAATATTTTCCCAGTTGTGTAAGAACACTCTGTTTTAAGACTTTAACATAAAATTGAAGCAGGCATAAATGAACTGTGGAAAGTCATGAAATCAGCTCGAAGTTACATAAATTTACTGTTAGACAAACTTCACAAGGATTAAAATAACGAAGGATTAGAGAGATTTGGGCTAAGCTATTTAAAGACAAAGCAATGTTAATTAAACTGACTTAAGTAATTCAGATTAATCAGTGATGTTTCAGACACTGCATGGAGAAAAAGATGACGGAAGCCTGGCCAGAGATGAGAAGAACAGTTTAAACAGCAGCTAGAGCCTTGATTATGGCCCTCTACCTGCTTCAGATAAAGGCACGATGAAGTACACTTCATGGGTCGTGTGTCTAGTCTAAGCAGCTCCCTACAATCATGGCAAGAAAGTGACATATTTGATGTCTTGACTTGAAAAGATAGTTACCCAGCAGGCCTGCGAGTAGCATTTATGATCATCCTCGACTGGGAGAGGTGAGTAATGGTGGCAAAGATACTTCCTGAAATTAGCACGTGCAGAATTATCTGCAGAATGCCATTTCCTGGGGATTTTTGCATGTATCTTAAGGATCTCATTGTGGTTTTTGTCAGGGATGCTCTTTTTTATCACTGGTAGATACTATTCTGAGTGTAATTGTATTTTATAATCTATGAAGTGCAGTCAGCACCTAGTGGCATCTTATTGTATGCCTTTATAAAATAATATTTCTTAATATAATGCTCAACATTATCCTTAGGGCATCATTTTTCCTTGCTTTCTAGTGGAGAGGTGAAGTAGCTGAAACTCAAATTATCAGGATTTAATCTTCTGAATAATTTGTGTTAACATTGTGATATTTATTTCATTGCAAATATGACAGAACTACAGCAAGAACTTGTGCTTGCAGTTAAAAATAACAAGTGTGTCTTGTTGATGTATTTTAAAGAAACTGATTTTTGGAATTCAAAAGTCCTAAAAAATAACTTTAAAAAACCCCAACCTAACCAAAACCAAACAACGAGGTGAAGTTAGTTTAGACTGAAGGTTTTACTCTGAAGATTTCCTCTCCTTTCTGCGCATACCCAGCGCCTTGCTCATCAGTCGTTCTTCCTTTTCCCCCACCAAACAATGTCACATTTCCGTGTTAGAGCAGCGCCCTCGGGAGCTGCCCTGGCCGTGCTACGGGAGAGAATATTTAGGTCACTGGGTTTTGCAGCTGGGGCCGGGGGCAGCCGTGCTGCTCCCTCTGGAGCAGGGCAGCCCGCCAGCACTTCCCGGTGTGCCCTGTGAGCCGAGTCACCGTGACGAGCGGTTTCAGACGGAGGCGTCTTGTTTTGGTCTATAGTCATATGCGTGACAGCATTTTCAGTTCCCTTCGATACCGGCTTTTTGGTCATAACTCTCTGAGTAAAACTTAGAGGGTAAATCCAGCGTGTTTTGTGAATTCATAGCGTGATCCCACCGTGCTTGCTTGCAGGGGAGACCGGTTGGAGATGACGTTGTTTTCTTTGTTGCTTGGGAAGGTCATTACTGAGCTTTCTTTGCCCTCTTGTGGCTGCCCGCACAGCTGCAATGCAAACTCGGTTGCTTTGTTTAATATACATATATAAAATGAATATTAAACATATCCAACCCCCACCAGCTGAGGAAAACCACAGTAAACACGTTTCCAGAGCTTTCCTATTTGGAGCAGCGTTCCTCAAGTACTGCAAGAAGGACATAATTGTTAGCAATGCATGAAGCATTTTTTCCAGTCACATCCTAGTTGTGTGAAAAGAACAGTGTGAATTGGGGTGGAAAATTCAAACTCGTGTGTGCCAAGGGCTGCGGTGCACTTGTGGAGAGCTCGGTGTGCCTGCTGGGATTGAGGAGTTCCCCCACACAGTGCCTCCTGATGGCAGCTGGCTGCAGCCTGGGATCCGATGGAGTTTACAGGAAGAACCCCTGGTGTGTTTTGGTTGCCCTTCTGTGGAATATGTGTGCCTTGTGAAGACATGGACGTGGGAACCGATGGTGATGATGCAGAGCTGGGTTTCTTTGGCCTGTTCTCAAAGTGCCTCTTATATTCCCAGAGCTCTATGGCAAAGTGAGGGAAGGGTGGCCTGGAATGCTGTGCTGCCTTCTGCAGTCGTGCTGCATTTTTGTCTTGTTTGGTCCCCAGGTGCTGAGAGACAGCCCAGGAAGAACAAGGCTATCCCTTCTCAGCCCTTCTTGCTGTAGTTGACTGGTCTTTTGGTGTGTTTTTTTTCTGCTGTTCTTAAGGAAAAAGGTTGTTCCCAGATGCAGGGCCTTCCTGAATGGGCTGGTCACATCACTGTCAGGCTGCCCCTGGAGTTCAGCCCAGCTGGGAAGCTGTTGGCAGTAGTGCTGTGGGAGCTGCTCACCACAGACCTGTATCCCCAGCACACGTGGGTGGTGGCTGTTAGGTCTGAAAAGGGCCAGCACAGATAAGAAGCCAGACTAGTCATGCATTGTTGGTCAATAGAATTGTCTTTCTCAGGGGGGAGCACCAAAGTGTGGCAATTCCCCAACTCCCATTATGACATCCACTGGCCAAGGAGTCCCCTGATCTCTGTGCTCTCTGCCCCCTTGCCGCCCTGCTCTTTGCAGTGTCCTTTCCTGGTTGAGAAGCCCAGGTACCAGGCCTGTCCTTGCCCCAGGTCGTGGGTGCTGAAGGCTGCTCCAGCTCTCCTGGGGCCAGCTCCGTGGTGGTGCCGTTTTCTCTGCTGATGTTACTGAACAGGGGGTTACACAAGGAGCCCTTTGGTGCTCTGGTGCAACAGTTGAGTGTTACTGTTTTCCGGACAGGCTTTGAGGATGGAATAAACTTCAACCAGGGTGATTTAAGCTAGATATTGCATAAAACTCTCTGATAACATTGCAAAGCAGAGAAGTAGGGGTTCCCAGGCTCCCCACCGCGAGCTGGTGGGGGAAGCGGGAGCACAGGTGCGTGTGCTCAGCGGAGAGGTGCGGAAGGGAGGCGGGATCGGTGCCGGTGCGGGGCACGGACGGGCCTGCGGGGCCAGGAGGGCATCCTACCCACGTG